TATAAAAACAACAAGCAAACTAATAACATAAACAAAACACAACAAGAAGAAGAAAAACTAGTTAATGACTTCTCATGTCACCTTATTTTTAGTCGATTACGTCGCCGTTACGCGTAAATGCGGCGCAGTTACCGCAATGAAAGCTTATGCAAAGAGTGTGGGTGTGAATCTTCTCTTCAACGACCCACACCCTTGTTATTCATCCTCATTAATAGTTACGAAAGCAAATCGAGCTTATTTATATTTCAATTATAGACTTAATGACTAAAACATTATATATGGGATATCATTGAAAATATCTTTTCAATATTTTTAAGGTTATAAAGGTTAAATTTATTTCGTTTGCTTAATAGATAGGACTCAAACTTTCGACAAGTTTGTTGTTTCAAGTTTCAAAATATACAATAAACTTCGTTTATTTTATAAAGATGTTCGTCGAAACGACATAATAAGAACTAAATAATGAAATATAAATAGACATAAAATATATTCCCACAAATAATATTGAACTTGTTCAGTTATTTTATTTTCGTGAGATAATATCTTTGTGATGGTTTATTTTTTTCTCGTTCTGTTTATATTTTATTTTAAAGAAAATAAATAAATACAACTCGAGACGTTTATCTTAAAATAAATCGATTGTATCTAACAAGCGAAACGAGACTTTTTAAAATTGACAGAAAGCATTGATGGATTAATAACACGTGAACAAAGTACTACAGCGTTTTAAATAGTACAAGACTTGAATTAATCTATAAATGTCTTTTTCGTTTAGAGAAAATATCAAAAAACAACTTTTTTTACTAGAACATCGGATACTGAAATGAATCGTTTACTTCATGATGAAGATAAAAATCGTAAGTTGTGATAGATTCTTTTTAGTATTCATAAATGAATATATTTTAGTTAACAATAAAATAGTTATTTATTCTATCGTTTAATTAATGTTATTCAATGTTTGTTAAATAAACAAACAGTTGAAGATGAATTCGACGAATCATTACCAGTACGTTTGGCGTTCAGTTTTTTTTTCTTCTTTACCTTTTTCTTTCCTTCTTCATCTTTTTTTTTTCTCGTTATTTGATCGTGTTCGTTATTCGAAATTGTCCTAATAGAAAAAGACAGAAACATATTCATCCTTGTTCCAGCCGCTTTATACGCTGTTACACAAAACGATACGATATATATACAATCGGGTTTATTTTTTGTCATGTGAATAGATTGAAAACTAAAGGAAAAAATATGAAAGATTATCGAAAACAACGAATCCAGATGAAATCATATCTATCAGACAAAACAAATTTTGTTTGTCGAAGTTTCGTTTTTTTACTAAAATAATTAACTTTTAACTGAATTGTAAAATCAAATAATATTTTCATTTGTTCAAATATTTGTTCATCTTTTTTTTTGTTTTTTGTGAAAAACTAATAATTAATATAAATAAAGAGTTTATCTGTAATATCAGTAATAAAATTTAATTAAATAATTAAAATAATCGAAAATATTTCAAATGTATGTCAATAAAGATTGAACTAAGATTTATATTATATTTATTGTCTAGGTTTTTTTTTGTTAGTTTGTTTAGTTGTCTTAGTTTTAGTTGAAGATTATAAGAAAAAACAAAACAAAAAAAAAAAAGGTCACATACAGACAAGATAATGTTTACAAGTAGATAGAGATCTTTATTACAAATAAATTATCGTCGAGACAATATAATCATTCTTTCTTTTTCTCGACATTGGTTAAGAGAACATTAGTTTTGTCAGATAAATTACATTCAATAGACAATTTACAATGGAGTAAGAGACATTTTTATTATATATTATTAAAATAAAATAAAATCATATAAATATATATTTAGCTGGAAATATTTATCAATCAATAAATTATCTTTTTTTATTATTTTAATAATAATTAAAACAATAATTGGATATGAACTTGTTTCAAGTATTTATTAACAATAATAAACATAACATAGATAAATAATATTATTAATTAAGATATTCATCTTCAAAATTGGACAAATCCATGTCAACCAAATCCATGTAGAGCTGGAACATGTGAACTTACTTCAAAATTTAATTTTACTTGTCATTGTATTCCTGTAAGTTTTTTTTTTCTTCTTTTAATTAAATTCTATTAAGAAAATTCCTATTAAATAAGTATGTACATGGTCATTTATGTGAAAAATTAAATTATGATCAACAACCATGTGAAAGTAATCCATGTTATAATAAAGGTTTATGTTCACCAATATATCCAAGAGATTCTTTAACAAATACCACTTTTATGTGTCTTTGTCCACCAAAACATGCTGGAATTTATTGTCAAGAAAATCTTGGTCAATGTCATTGTTTAAATGGAGGCACTTGTTATAATAGTATGTTTTATTTAATTATTAAATAAATAAGTAAATAACTAATAATGTTTAGTATCAAATGATGGATATAAATGTTTATGTCGATCAATGTTTACTGGATCATATTGTCAATATGATTTTCGAAATGAAACATTTTGTAATTATTCTCCATGTAAAAATAATGGTACATGTATGTTGATTGAATCTCCAGCTGGTATATGTTTATGTCAACCAGGATATATTGGAGAATATTGTGAAAAACGTGTTTCTTTTTGTCAAGAAAATCCATGTAGAAATAATGGTTCGTTTTTATTTTAAAAAAAACAAAAAAAAATACTGATAAAAACAAATGTTCGATGATAAATAAATGAAATATATCTTTAGGTACATGTGTTCCATTATCTGGTGTTGATGGTCAATGTATTTGTCAATCAGGTTATTCAGGCTTATTATGTGAACACGTTCAAAGAACATTTTGTTCAATTGATCCATGTAGAAATGGCTCAACTTGTATTGTATTAAATCATACTGGTGATGGTTTTTGTTTATGTCAAACAGATTATGTTGGACCTTATTGTGAATATATAACACCAACAGCATGTCAAAAACGTTGTCATCATAATCATGGAAAATGTGCTTTAATTGATAATAAATATGGAAGATGTTTATGTCAAAAAGATGTAACTGGACCTTATTGTGATATACCACTTCATTCTTGTGCACCAAATCCTTGCGGTTAGTTTAATAAGAAAGAAAGAAAGAAAAAAGTATTTATTTAATAATAATTGTTTAGAAAATAATGGAATATGTCTACATGAAATGTCAAGTCAATCATATAAATGTTTATGTACATATGGTTATTCAGGTGTAAATTGTTCAGAAAATTTAAATAAATCATTTTGTTCATCAAATCCTTGTATGAATAATGGAACATGTCTTCAATCCCCAACAAGTGCTGATGGTATATGTAGATGTGAACAAGGTTTTTCAGGAAAATATTGTAATGATATAGTTATATGTGGTGAAGAACAATGTCAATATCCTGAACAAGTTTGTTTAGCTGATACATGTGTTAATGTAACAGGAGAACTTTATTGTCTTTTACATGAATGTCAACATGGTGGAAAATGTGATAGAATAAAACGTCAATGTTTATGTGAAAAAGGTTTTACTGGTATTTATTGTGAATTAAATACAATGTTTTGTGATCAAACAAATAATATTTGTCAAAATAATGGAACTTGTTTAATTACAGATAATCGTTGTATTTGTAATCACTTTTTTACTGGAAAATATTGTGAAATTCAAATTCTATCATATTAATATTAATTAACTAACAAAAAAGAAAAAAAGAAAAAACTTTCTATTTGATTAATTTTTCGTTTTCTCTTATTAATTATCACTTTTATATGAAAAATTCAATTAACAAGATATTATTTTATTGTTAATTATATATAAAGAAAAAAATAATAAATATTTATTGACCATTGATCTATTGAAATATTATCTTAGAATATTTTATATATCGATACTTGAATAGAGATTATTTAGAATAATTTTATTTTTTCGAATAAAACATCTTAGCAATTAATTTAACTTTTTATTCTTAAACTTATTAAAAAAAGTCAATCTTTGTTTGACTAAAAACGAAAAGTAAATACTTCTAAAAATTTTTTTGTTTTTTAACAAAATAAATAAATATTTATTATTAGTCATAGTTTGTTTCAACTATGTTTACTTTTATTTTATTCTAACTCGAATATTATTATTTTATACAACAATAATTATTTAATATAGTGATTATTTAATTTTTCCTCTAAATCGACAAATATGAACATTTAATATCATCTGATGAGAAAATTTCCTAAGGTCGAAATTATTGGTGATTGATAAAAGATAAATAATAAGTATTCATTCTGTTTAAATAGATGTTAGCGTATAGAAATAATCTATCAATCATTATAATGAAAGATAAATAATGGCAATTAACATCTTGTCAAACTAGTCATTAAGAAAATTCTATCATCTACCAAACGTACGATGAAATTTTCCGATGATAATACCAAGGCATATGTTCATAAAGATCTATATCTCTATAGAGATTTGAAAAACATGCACTATCACATTTATATTTATTCAATTATTGTTAACCGTAGACATTATTATTTTAACTAGGACAATGAACTTTTTATAAATCGATTGTAGAAATAAATTAAAATGAAAAGTATCGAAAAATCAAATGTTAATAAACTTTCGATTAATCGATATTATTTTCAATTTTGATTTGATAATAGATTTATACCATTGACACAAAAAAAAAAAGAAAAGACAAATATTTATATTTGTTCGAATAAAATTGAATAGTTTGAAAATTTTATTGATGTTTGCAATCAGCAACATATTATACTTTCATTGACTACATATATATCTAGGACTAACCATAAATGAAGCAACTAATCAAACAAATCCATCAAATTAAATCGAATACAACTTCGGATGTACGAGGTAAAATCAAAAAAAAAAAAGCATTACACTGCACGCGGGGTTTAAAAAAAACAAAAAAAAAAGAAGGACTAAGGAAACAACCGGACAAATACTGCCGTTCTTTCTTATTTTCTTTTTTCCATTCTCCAAAAAAAATTCATTTATTTGTTGTTGCTTCACTTCCTAAAACAAAAACAAAAATAATTAATTATTATATTTAAATCAATTGTTTAACATACTTTATTGATGACTACCAGATGATGGATCAGAGCCGACGGTTGATCTATTTTAAAATAAAATTAATTTATAAATAAGAAAAGTAAGAAAAAAAAGAAACAAACTGTGTATGTTCTTGTGATGGATGATATGGTTGTTGTTGTTGTTGTTGAGCGATATTTAGTTCTAATCGTTCTTGAATATTAGTAAAAGAATCTCGTCCTTGATAATCAACATGTCCAGCTTCCCATGCTCGACGATGAGCTACTGAACCTGATTGAACACCTTGATTAGTTGTTAATGAACCATAATTTAATAATGAACTACCAGCAAAACCAACTGCACCTTCAGATAATTGACCCTAAATAACAAAAAAACAAAAATAAATTTGTCATCCGTATGGTTTGTCTACAAATGCAGATAAATCTGCACCGAGCTATAGAATATACGGGTCGTAGTTCGCACCAAATGAAATATTCGGGAACATTAGCTCATGCTTTTCGATGTCACAGTGAGGAATTTACTCCATTGACAATAGGAGCTCCAATAATAACTGTGTTTCTATTTCATAATTATATTGACGAATCAATATAAATATATAAAATAGATCCATCGATTAGATTCGATCATAAGAACTTGTTATTATATTCTTATTAACCGAATGATTCATCTTATTCTCGTTCTTTAACATATAAAATCGATGCAAAAAGAAGAAAAAGCGAAAAAAGTAAAAAGCAAAAGCGAATAAATTCTAACCATAAAATAATCTTTTTTTTTAATTTGTTTTGAAAAAGATGAAAGAATATTGTTTGATGATATATATTCTTGTTGATGATAATTATAATAAAATAAATCATAATCAATATATTCAGGTTTATATTTCTTAAAATAATTATTTTTATGTCCTTGTTTAATATAATATATTCCTGATCGTGGAAGATTTTTTTCTCTCGAATAAATTATTTTAAGATTTTCTCCTATTGATATATCATTAAATAAATCATCAATTATTGATGGATTAGAATATTTTTCATTTTCAATTAATTTACTATTTTCTATTATTTTATTTAAATTTAAATCAATTGTCATTGAACAACATTTATTCATAACTGAAATATTAGACTAAACATTTTCTTCGACTTATTTTATTTGATTTATCAAATAAATAAAAAGAAAAAGAAAAAAAAACGTTCGATAGGATAAAAATGAATAAAAACATGCTTTACCTCTCCTAATAACTCCAATTTGTTTTGTTCGTATTGCTGAATAAATAAGGTAAATATAACATGCAGGATTCAAACAAACAAATGCAAAAAAAAAAAAAGAAATAAAAGATAAATAAACCAACCTGATTATATTTTGATAATTGTGGCCAAACTCGTTCATACATTATTTTCCACCAACAAAGTAAAAATTCTCTTTGAACATCATGTTGTCCATCTAAATTACCTGATAATTGTTCATTTTGTGGATTATATGTTAATTGCCATGGTTTTAATGCACCAGCAAAATGAACAACACGAATATCATTACGAAATCTTTTCATTTTTAATTTTGAAAAAAAAACATTGAAAAATTGAAATTAATTATTAAAAAAAAAAAACGTTTAACTTACCGTGTAATAGCTGGAACATATGAATAAAATGTATTTGCTGTTACATTATAAACAAATGGTAAATGCCGAGATATATCCGATGTTCGCCAATTTGAAAAAAAACTATTTAAAAGTCCTTGATCACCACCTATTCAAAAAAACAAAAAAATGAATTAAAGAATAATAAAAAAACGAACCATCAAATGAAGCATGTTGTTGACTAGCAAATTGAACCAATTTTCTAAATGTATCTTTTGATGGACGATAAACAAAAACACCTGAATTAAAACAATCAGGCCAACCAGCATCAGGTGAAGCTGAAAATTCTTCTCTTTCAAATAAATCATCAATATTACGTAAAACAAGAACATCAGCATCAAGAAAAACACATTTTGAATATTTTTCTAAAAGCCAACAATTTATTTTTGTAAATGTAACACCAAGTTCAGGACGGCGTAATAAATGTAAATGTTCATCATCATGAGAATTCATTTCTTCAACAATAACTATTTCATCAAAACTTGTTTCTAATGTTCGTCTAAAATATTTCTCTTTTTATTATATTAATTATTTAAAAATAAATACTTTATTAAATCTGATAAATTCTTTGAAATCATTATAACTAAACGTCGTTGTGTTCCAACTTTTCTAAGTGATTGTGCAACGACCAAAGCTCCAAGAGCATAACCATCGTTTGTAGCCAATGTTACGAATGCTTCAGATGACATTTTTTAAATAGTTTTAGTTCAATCAACACAATCAGCTCTTTAATTATATTAAAAATATAAAATAAATTATTAGTATTAATTTACAAAAGAGTTTTTTCGAAATTGTACACAAAAGAAAAAAACAAGAACAAGAAGAAGAAGAAGAAGAAGAGAAGAAGTATCGTACTAACTGTGTCTTATCTCGATATATGTCCAGTTGTTGGTAGATATATTCATGTCTGACGACCTCATATTGCCCTCTTTATCTATGTATGGTCATGTATAGACTGCATGATTTTTCTTTCTACTAATACATATATTCTTAATAGTACAAGGTTAACACTACATGAAACAGATAAACAGTACAAAGTCTTCAAAAATTTCCAGATTAAAACAATTTCTCTTTATCTCTAATAGGTTAATATAAATAAATGAATTCTAGTGAAAAAATAAGAAGAGTTCACCTTATTATCTTCAATATAGAAAAAAAGAAAAAACGCGAATAAAGATAATTGTATAGTAAAAGAAGAAAGTCCACCATCTGAATAGTAAACAAGTAGATAGAATGGAAATGATATATGAGTACAGTGTATTATGTCGAAAATAGAATGTCCACATAGTACCAAGAATAATCAGTAATAAAGCAACGTCATTCAATATCTTTAAATAACCAACTGTTTATTTAGAAATATTTTCAATAGGATTTTGAAATTTATATTATTTTATTTATTAATTAAAACATATAAGTCAATATAATATTTATTTACAATAATATAATTCTTATAGATGTCATTAGAAGATTTTTTTTATTTTCCTACAAACAATCTCTTATCTCTTTCGAATTTGTTTCTATAATATAAACCAATAAAAATCGTTTATATTATTCGAGGAGGAGAAAGAAAAAACAAAATAAGCTACTAGGAACTTTGTACGTAAATGATCGTTATCAGTAACGTCAATAACGTTAGATAAATTCATTTAAAATAATAGAGATATTCTTTATATTTAATATTATTAATTAAACGAAAGTTAAATTATTTTTATTATTTCAATTAGATTTATTAGATAAATTAAACTATTCTCGTACAATTAATCAACTAAATTTATTCAATAATAAAACAAATCAACATAAAATAGATTTATTTCGTGAAATTTTTTCTAAAAAAAAACAAATCTTAATTATAAGAAATAAGAATAATTTATATAGATTAGAATAAACTTCAAATGGAATTTGCTCTATCATAATTGTCTTTCTAACAAATCGAATCGAATCGAATAATGATTTTTTTATTGAGAGAAATTTAAAAAAAAACAGAATTCCTTTTTAAAATTGCTAAAAATATTCTTATATTGTCAATTAAGTTTCTCATATATTTGATAATTGCTGTCTCTCTCTCTTCTCTCTATTGATTATCTTTGTTTTGTTTGTTTAGATCTCGATTGGATAAATATTCTAATATATTAAATAAATATTCCTAATCAGACACAAATTGCTTTTGTTATTCTATCTTAATTATGAAACCATTCGAATTCATCATTCAATCTTGATAAAAACAAAACAAAAATCTTTCTTCACTACTTTCATATGCGTTTTTATTTATTATTAAGAAAATAAATGATTAGTCAATACGGAAAATATCCAATTATCTATGGAAGTGAACTGTATTATGATCAATCGTACAGATAAATAAGTTTTTTCTTTCTTATAGAATATATCAAATAAATGATATAAGGGTTAAAAATATAGAATTACTTTTGTTTTTTTGTTGATTCGCTTCTATTTATAATTTATGATAAATATATTATACGCGACATAGAGAGATAAGTCCGTATTTTCTTGTTATATAACAATTATAGAAAATAAACAAAACTCTTGTTGTCTTATCTAACAAATAGAGATAAGGGAATATCCAATGACAATAAAAATACATTAATATTCAATGAGCCCTATACCAAATCGTTTGTTGGCCCCCAACAAGCAAAAGGAAGAGGGCCATATGATAATTTCTTTGTTGCTAAACTCGGTCTCTTTTCTTTCATCTATATTTTTATTTTTCAATCGTTTGGTTGAAAGTTTTCAATGAAACGATTGAAAAAGAAAAAGATAGATGAAAGAAAAGAAATCGACCTTAACAAAAAAAACCAAGTTATCATATGGTCCTTTCTTTTTGCTTGTTGGGAGCCAACAAACGAATTGGGAATAAGGATCATCGTTTTGAACAAAATTTTTCTTAAGTAATGAAATAATATGTAAAAATAGGGAAAATTGTTTTTTTTTTGTTTTTTTCTGACAATCTAATAATAGATATTGATATTCAACATTTCGAGTTCATTTTAAATCGATAATAAAATCTTGATGAGATTAGTTTAATGTCTAAAATGGTTTATATTCATAAAATATTGAAGTCGAATCTGAACAAGACATATTCATATACATTAATTATATTTTAGTAAATATTGTAAGCGAGATTGATAAGACATTTGAATAGACATTGAGAAAGAAAAAAATCAATAAGAATAAAATAGTTTAAGTAGAATCAATGTCTATTTGAGATAGTGAAACATATGATGAAAAAAAAACTTGATATGATCAGATGAATTATTTCTAAAAGGAAAGAATTTCATATCTATTAACTAAGATATTCAATGAAAATCTTATTTAAGATCATTGATGATGAAAATAATTCTTGATTAAATGAATAATTATATTTCATTTTAAGAATATTTTATTTTAAATGTTTTTTTTGCTTTTTTCTTATCAAATTTGTTGTTGTTTTTATCTTAAGATATGAATTGATAAGGAAAATATTGGTTAAATAAAAAATAATAATTGAAAACAAAAAAAAAACTAAAATAATGGCTAATGAGAGAGAAGAATTTTTATCTTGTTCAAATGGTAATAATAAACATATTGAATTAATTAAAAAAAGTTCATTACATTGGGAAATAATATTAAATCGTCCAGATAAATATAATGCAATAACAACTGATATGATTGAATATTTAACAGATATATTTAATAAAGCAGCAAAAGATAATGATTTAGTTCTTATTTCAATCACTGGTAAAGGAAAATATTATTCATCAGGAACTGATTTAACTAATTCAATTAATTTATTTGTAAGATAATTATTTATTTCTATTATTATTATTCGATTTTGTTTTGTTATTTATATTAAATAGAATTCGTCAACAACAGATATTGAAACAATAATGGAAAAAGGAAAAAATCGTTTAAAAAATTTCATTGAAAGTTTAATAAATTTTCCAAAAATTCTAATTGGATTTATAAATGGACCATCAATTGGTATATCAGTATCAATATTAGCTTTATTTGATGGAGTTTATGCATCATCATCTTCAACATTTTCATTACCATTTACACGTACAGGACAAACAGCTGAAGGTTGTTCATCTTTTTTATTTCCACATATAATGGGTCCAATTCATGCCAAAGAAATACTTTTATTTGATCGTCAATTAACAGCTGAACAAGCTCAACAAAAAGGTTTAGTTACACGAGTTATTCAAGATAATTTATTTGAACAAGAAAAAGATAAAATTTGTCAATTTATTTTATCTTTACCTAAACAAAGTTTATTAACAACAAAATCATTAATACAAACATGGAATATTCAAACACTTAAAATTGTTAATCAACAAGAAGTTAATGCTTTAAAAAAACAATGGTCAAATGAAGAATTTCCACAAGCGATTTTAAATTTTATCAATAGAAGAAATAAATCAAATTTGTGATATTTACATCAACTATTTTACGACTATTATTATTATTAATACAAATTCATCACTTCCTTTTTTTTTTTTATTTTTTCCTTTAAAAAATTTCGTTTTTAAAAATGAAGAAACTTTTTTTTTTTTTTTTTTTTTGGAATATTCACAATGATGTTTTCTTTTTTTTTTGTCAAAGATTATTTCTAAAATATAATATATTCATGTCTAACATATTGAAAAGTCTATTGAATTTATCATTCTAACGAAGATAATTATTATTAATCAGAACAAACTTATAAAATATGAAAATCTATAATAAAATAATTTATTGAAATTAAATTGAGAAAAAGAAAAAAGTCAAGATGACAATCATCTAACGAGATTTAACGAACAATATTTTTCAAATCTAATTAATAATAATATATAAAATATTTCAACATAATATTATAGAATATTTAATTAGAATAGAGTTAGATTTTAAGATTGAATTATTATTAAAAAATATCGATGAAATATTTAAAAAGATTTATTTATCTTTTTTCATTTTAATTTATTCTTAGTAAAATAATAATATTGAATCAGTTCTATAGTCAAATTATATAGAACGATAATCTATATAATCAAGATAATTTTATTTAATATCTTTGAAAAAAAATATATTTTAAATGGTAGAGATTATTTGTATTTATATCGATCTATAGAAAAGATAAGTTTAACTATGAAAATAAGTTTTATATTGGATTTTATTATTATGTTTATTAACTAATTTATTCAAATTGAAACATTTTTACAATTTAGATTTTATTGAAAAATAAATTAAATTTTCACGAACAATTTTTTCTTTTCTATTCACTAAACAACAAAAAAACCAAACAAACATTTTTAATCAAAGTGACAAAAAATTTAAATCGATTTTAAATTTATCTTAAAATGTTTTTTTCTTTTATTTTCTTTTCGTTTCTTTTCTATATGATAGATTATTCTAATGTAAGTTGACAATCGTTATTCAACCATAACAAAAGCAAGAAAAACAAATTATGTTGAAATATTTTATTGTAGTTACATAACAAAAACGCCTTGAATAATATGTTTTTTATTGTCATAAGATCATTTGTAAACATGATAAGAAAATAATATATTATTTCGTTTATTCTTACAGATAGTTTTCAAATTAAAACCAACCAAATATATTCAACATTGTTTAATATTATTAGATATTGTTCTATTAGTTAGCTATTAACTAATATTGATATTATTTAAAATAAATTTTATTCGATCTTTTTTTGCTC